TAAGAAATCGATTCAAGTCACTCAGGTGGTTGGTGGCAAAACAATATGTTTATTAGGGATGTTTCGAATGTCACATTTTTCACATTTGCGAATGCGAATTTTCGAAATGCGATTGTGCGAATGCGAATGCGAATGTTTGGAATAACATTAAAAAACCTACCAACTTAAGTCATCGTTTTTATTACTTAAAAATTTTGTAAATTATGAGAACATTGAACGAGTGCTTAACATATAGGGTGCACTATGGTCTGGCGACTAGCATTTGCTGGCCAAAAGTCGAGAAGTAACCAAATTGATTTGAAACTTAGTGTTTGGGGGTTTTTGTCAGATTTTCAAAATTCAAAATGGCGAATCCAATATGACGACCAAATTTTATTATTTTTTCTTTTTTCACCAAAGACATATTTATATAAGGGGGGTTTTCGAATTCGATGATTAAAAGCCTGAAAATTTTTAAAACAGCAGTTTTTTGAATCTGTGTTGTCTGCTGCTAAGATAGGCTTTCAATTGAGCTTTAATTTCACATTTTCTAGTGCCTCCAGATTCTACATCCGAGCCTTCACTTTCACTGGAGGAATCTAAAATTATTTCTAGGTTGCTTATAGGACTTTTAGCAGTAATTGTTGAAGGCCCATCAATTTGCTTGATATACATACTAGTTAACGGTTTAGCGCCTGAAGCTAATAGCCGGTTATTATCCGCATCCTGGTTAGACAGACTAAGAGCCATTTCAACAATATTAGAGTGGACTCTCTGGTCATGTACACATTCGCATTCGCAAAACATTCGTATCATTTGATGCGAATGCGAATGCAAATATTCGCAACATCCCTGATACATATGTTGTATGCCTATATGTATGTACATCGCAATCCTTTTTAGACATAGGATAACGAAAGCCACACAAGCCGTCGCGGTTGAATTCTTGACAGCATGACTTGTCGGTTGACTGACTAAATATACATATATATACAAATTTAAGCAATATGTGTATGTATAAGCATATATGTCAGTATATGTTGTAAATGTGGTGTCTGAAAGCCCCACAGTAATATAAAAAATTGTGGTACTTAACCAATTACCGAGTTCAATGGCAGCAAAGTGTTAATGTGGGAAAGGGAAGTGTTGCCTCAGCCTCAGAATACATTCCTTATTTATAAGTGTTTAAAAAAGGTGACTTAGAGAGAATTTATTAAAGAGAAAGAGCGCATCTAATGAAGGTAATTTCGATTTTTTTCATAATTAATTTTTCAATTCACTTTGATTGCATTCCCTTTGGTTTAGTACAGAACTAAATTTCTGTCTCGGCCATTCTATCACTGTTCTTGCATTATGGTCAGTATTTTTTCAATTAGCCAGAAATTTCTTCATTGTATTACTTTTCATACCAGCAGAAGGACAATTAATGGCTAAAAGAAATTGTGCGCAAATTACCGCATTCCTGAAGGTCGAAAAGCCGAATAGAAGAAAAGACAAACGTTTTGGTGTGGCTTCCGCTGCTTGTCTTAGAGTTTTATTTTTCAACTCTGTAACTGTCCTGCAATGACAACACTTGGCTGATTGTTTAAGCGATTATGGTTGCTTTGCGTGTTCAAGGCTATTTTCAATTAGCTACAAGCTCAAAAACAATGTATTTAATTTAAGACAAAATTGTTCTTGTCTGAATAAATTCACTTAAATTTGTATTAAAATAGGATAATGCCAGTTTGCAGGCAGCTATGTTGGTGAGGTGAAAGCATTCAATATGATTTTCATGAAATATTATTTTGCTGAAAAATAATACGCTGTTGAGTAGCTGTGTATAATATTCCCAGAACGGTACATCTTCCCCGATATCCGGACGGCTAACTGATGAAGACCCCTCCAAAATAGTGTAATCGGAAATTCCATCGTTCCAGACCGATTCAGTTTCATCTGGTTCAAGGACATCGTGATTTAGCTCCATTGTAGTTCAAAGTGCCTATTTTTTGTGAAATATTTAGTATCAAAGAAAAAAAAACTATGGTTTTTGCATAACTTTTATAAAAATTCATAAAAATAAATAAAAAATTAATATATATAAAAATCGATTATTTCATCATTCCATCTTAAAATGGCTACAATTACTAGCAATCGAGTGAAAAAGGTTGAAATCCATTAATTTTTAACAAAGTTATGGGCATTTGAAAAAAAAAATACCAGATATCGATTTTTATCTAAAAACAGAATGGCTTATAAGTCGGCTATTTCAGCTTCATCAAAATTAAAAATCACGGCCGTACCTGAACGGTTGTCTTGAAATGGAAAGCATCTAAAAACGATGATTGCTCCTTTGTCAATGCAGAAAAATCAGACTTTAGAGTTGGTAAAAATTATTCTGATAATGATAATTTTTGGAAAAAAAAACTATCTAGATTTTAAAGTTTTCAGCAGGGTACGAAAATAAACTATATTGTACGTTACTATTTCGTTTCGTTTATTACTTCAACAGTTCGGTACAATACGAAAACAAAACGGCTGAGTTCACTTTGGCGATAGTACACTACATTAATTTAGTAGTTACAGACGAAACAACAAACGAAATGAATCGTGCAGAGAAAAATATATGTATGTATGTACACATATCCAATAACTAAACACAAAACGAATAGCTGCAATGAATAAAAAAATAAAAATGTTTTTTAATTGAATTGGATATGAAAATTTACAGAAAAAATATTTTTCACGTAATTGAAACGTTGGTGATATCACCCTATGGCACAATTGTCACAAACGAAAAGCAAACGTTTCTAGTTGGGGAAAATGACAGTGAAGCTTACAATTTGTTTCTGACTATGTACAAAACCACAAATGATATGATGATCGATGAGCAAATGGGAATTGTTTTGTACAGTTTATTTTCGTACTCTGGTTTTCATGTAGCTTGCGAATATTAATCCCTCGCATTCATTCGCCCTGTTTTGGCACTCGTTTGCTTCTTGTATGACCTGTATTTTCTCAAGGACCGTTGTATGCCACTGCCAGACTGTGCCAGTAGACTTCAGTCATTTTTTTGACGCCCAAAGGGGTTTTATAAAAAAATCACTTCTTATAAAAAACCGTTTCCCTGCTGAACTGTAACGCCAATAAAATATTAAAAAAAGATTATAACAATTTTTAGTCATTTTCAAAGCACAAGATTTTCTTTTGAGTAATTTTGTGAATTATAACATAATCGACGCGCTATATTTGAAAAAAAAAAAACTAGAAAAATTGTCGAATTTTGACAATAACTGGAAATCCTAGTATTTATAATAGCTTGACTTGAGACATTATTGAAAGCTCCGGCTCTCTAGCGACTGCTCGCTTGCATTGGTCAAGTCCCGGCCACTCTAACATATAAGGCAAGACGCGCTTGAATTTTTGGTTACGAAATGCCTAAGCCTCGTTTGTTTTCTCTAAGTTAAGACATAAGTCCTTCATGATTTACTCTTTGCTTATCGTACACACTGGCTTATTTGTGTACGCCGCACTTTCTCACCAAACCTATCTTGATTTTTGTAGCGGCGGTTGGTTGGTGGGGAGTAAATTGGTAAATTAAACGGAAATTGCACACGGAAATGGTTCGGAGGGATACAAGCGCTTCTCAAATGTATGCACATGGTATTCATTTAACAGAAATGTGCTAATAAAAGATTAAAAAATAAGACTTAGATAAATACCAATGCAAGAATGAAAGTAAAGGTGAGAACGTACATAGATAAAGAAAAGGATAAAGGCAAAGGCAAAAGTAAAAAAAAGATGCGTAAAGATAAAGGCAAAAATGGAGACCTAGGTAAATGTAAACACTTTACTTATGTATGTATGTATCTAAGGTGAAGGAGTAGATGGTAGATGAAGAAACTATTAAACATAGAGGTAAAGGTAAAGGTAAAGATAAAGGGAAGAAAGATTAATACCAAGGTAATTATAAAGAAGAGGATATATCTATGTAAATAGAGACACAAAGACCCAATCTGGGAACTATTTCGGGATTTTAGAGATTTTCGGTTACCTCTGAAGTTATCGAAAAAAAAATGTATATTTTTTATCGACTTTGTTATCGATATTTTTATCAATTTTATTTTCGATATTTCTCTCGATTTTGTCATCGATATTTTTTATCGATTTTGTTACCGATATTTTTATCGATTTTGTTTTCGATATTTCTCTCGATTTTGTTATCGATGTTTATCGATTTTGTTATCGATATTTATCGATTTTGTTTCGATATTGTATATCGATTTTGCTACGGATAATTTTGTCGATTTTGTTATCGATATTTACCGATTTTGTTATCGATATTTACCGACTTTGTTATCGATATTTCTTATCGATTTAGTTATCGATATATATTTATCGATTTTGTTATCGATATTTTTATCGAGTTTGTTTTCAATATTTCTCTCGTTATTTTTATCGATGTTTTTATCGATATTTATCGATTTTGTTATCGATATTTTTATCGATATTTTTCAATGTTTTTATTTTCATACCTTTATCGAATTCGCTACCGATATTTGTATCGATCTTCCTTCATCGATATTTTGGTGGATGTTACTATCGATTTTGTTGACGATGGAGTATAAAGATAAAAGCAAATATAAAGGAAAACAGAATAACATAATTGTAATTTGAATTAACCGGGTAGATGTAGAGATCTATATATAAAAAAGACAAAAAATATAGCCTTAAGCAAAAGCAGATAAGTTTATGTATGTATGTATGTATGTACATATGTATATTGGTTATGACACAACCTAGATATGTAAGGTAATTTTCATTTCTCCAGTGTGGCCCAGGCGCACTTACTTTTTATTAAATATACATATAATAAAATATCAAGTTTGTATCTAAATTACAAAGAAGTTAACAGTAGCCTAACCAATCATATACGATAAGCGTAAAATTCGCAGTATCTACATAATGTTATTTTTTTTTTGTGTTCTGCATATTTCTATGCATAAATATTACATACAATCTCCTTTTGTTCAATCTTTTAGAACTGGCATCACCGCCTGCAGGGCGTTGCTCAACTCGAGGTAGCTTTGCGCAACACCGATACACTGGCACAAGTTCAACCGTGTCTGGATAGTTTACTCCGCACTTTACTCTTCTCTGAACGTAATCCAGACGTGGCCGAGGCAAAGCAACAACTGCTAATCAATCTCATAACACGTTTGCCACTCGATAACTTGGAGGATCGTACAACACAAATAATGACCGGGCTGTGTCGCCAAGGTGGCGCTGGAGCGAATCGCGTATGCAAAGCATTGATGCATCGACTGCCGGCGGCGGCAATTGTACTCAAATTATTGTCGCAAGAATTTTTGCATGCAAAGAGCTCAAGGGTAAGTGCAATCAACAAGCGAAAGCAAACATGAGCAAAGCAGGTTGACCAGCAGCGATAATGGTCGCGTTGGTCTGCTGACCGCAGCACTACTACTTTAAGAAATTATTAAATGCCTGCATATTAACTAGCTGGCCCACAAAAGTGACAATGGCCACAAAAGTGTGCTAATATTTTTTTCCTTTATTAATGTGGCTAAGTGCGGCTGGCTACTTGGTATCACTAGAATTGATGAACTTCCGTTCTTCTTTCTTTCCATTTTCTTTCTTTTCGACTTATTTGCGTTTGTGTGTAAAATTTCACTTGAATAACGGGCGCTCTCTCTCTCCCCTCCCCTGTACACAGTTCCGCGAACACGCGCTCCAAATGGTTATGTACTCGCTGATGACCTTTCCTAGCACTTGCTTTGACATGACCACCTGCGTTACCCATGCCACATATGCCGCCCTAAATCGCAAGCGTCGCGTGCGTCAAGCCGCTTTAGATGTGCTCGCTATTTTGGGACAAATAACCAATACACGCGCTGTACTGGATGTGGTACAAGGTTTGGCTGCCGCACGAGAAGATGGCCCAGCGCTGATTTCAGCGGTGCGTACGCGACTTTCGCGCAAGCAAATGCCACTCGTCGCTGCTGATGGACAGGTACAGTATGCGCTGCGTGTGCCATCGCCACATTCGGCNGTTCAGCGATTTTGGTGATCTTAAATACTATTTATAAATTGAAATGTGATTACGATATTTCTTTACAGTTTTCGAACGACGGAAGGTAGTGGCACGCGAAGGCATGCGTTTCAATCACCACCAGATGTTTATGAAAATTTTAAGGAAAACGCAGCGAGTATTAATGTGAGTTAAAATTGTTATGTTTTATTTATTGTATTCAACTAAACTGCTAAGTAAATATGTATTCAATTCGACTGTATTTCCGCATCAAAATCCTTTTACACTGACATCCTTAAGTACACGAACGAAATGCACGAAAGCACGTATATATATAAATATTCAGTAAATCGCCATAATTCATTGCTGAGTAGGTCAATTGGCGAGAATTGGTGCCAAAACCATTAACGACAATTGTGACACAATAACTACATATATCATTTATTTAGCTTATCGTCACTTGACCATACCCAAGTTGTTCCAATTATAATCGCACCTTAGTTCGTTTGGCCTCATTTAAAGTCGACGCGATTTCAAGTGTCTACATTTAGTAGTAATACACATATGTATGTATGTGTGTACATAGTTATATGTAGGCATACACATTCAAACATAGTGACTGATTTTAAAATGCCATTGTGAATTTATCGAGTACATGTGTATGTATGTATGCACATAAAATATTTTAATTCCGAATCATGTTTCCGTTCACAGAAAGTTTATGAATATTTCATAATCTAAGTTGGAAAAGTATACAGTCGGCACTTAGAGGTGGGTCAACTTTCTTTTGCTTGGCCTACAGTCTATCAAATACAATAGATACACATATCTGATAACACAGTGTAACAGCATTTTTGGCGGCGAAATGATTCCAGCGCAGGATGAGAGACCTAGACCCATATATGTAGTAGCACCTCCAAATCAATTTGCTTGCTCAGGTCAAATTTTATTTTTTTTTTGTGGCCATATACAATCTTTTGAAAGACAAAAGCCTTTCGTAAGACAATTGTCAATTGTGGCAATTATCTTGAAAGCGATTTACTGCCTTTCGAAAGACTAATTGAAAGTTCTGTTAACGATGAGGTCTTAAGGTGACTAATTTGTTTTTTTGTTTTTCCTGTTTATTCAGACATTCCAAAAAATGAGTAAAATTATCCTTTCGTGATAAGGCTAATGGGTTAAAATGTCCCACAAATTATTCCTCGTGAATTTTTCTATATTTTACACACAGGACGAGTTGAAGTTCGAAAGCCAATTAAAACTTGAAAAAGGGACTTCCGAGAAAAAAGTTTCGAATAAGGGTTACGCATTTTTATCCTCTGAATCCGATATTGCAGTAAAACATATATGTGTAATTTGAAAAAAAAAATAACTTCCGGACAGTTTAACCCACTTTCGGTTGAAACCGCAAGTCGATAATACTAGATACCAAAAGATAGAGCATCCCCGATTTCATTGGTCATTTTTTTGCGCTTTTCAATAAAAAAAATATATTCCTCCTTTTTTGATGGGGTAGGTTGGTGGTCGAGGACAACCTGTATACTTACACACATATTTCGGCTTTTATTTCCACTTAGAACTTGACAAAAGTTCAGAAGCAGCACCTTAAATATTCCGTAGTTTTGAAGTTAGAACGGAGACTAGAGTACGCTACTGGGCACATTTGATCCGCTTTTAGATAAATCGGGTTCTAGTCAACTCTGCTACACTGACAGAAACGTTTAGTTACGTCAATTAAATATTGTTCTCTCAACACATGATTTCATAGTAGTAACCATGATACAAAAAAGAAAGTAGTTTCAATAAGCAAATTTTTGTTTAAAAAGCAGATTTTTTATAATTGCTCAATTGTTAAAAATTCGAAGCGGCATTTTATTAACATTTGCCTTTTAAAAGTAATTAAAATCTTATCTTAAAAATGTTTAAATTTTACATTAAATATGATAACCACTTCCCAAAGACTTTATTTTTAGGTTAATAAAATTTTAGTTAATATGTATATCTGTGGCTGTATGGAATAGTAGCTTATGTCAGGTATAACGCCGCATTTCCTATATTCTTTAAACGACAAGGAATTTTTCGATGAGGCTTAATAAGAACATTGACTTGCTAATATCGGAACTATTTCTTGAATGTTTATTTTCTTGTGAACTCCCAATTGTCTTTGTCAATTTTACTGCATGTCTTTGAAGTACCTTGAAAGTGGAATTTACTTTGGGACGTATGCGCCTCATAACTTTCCGAAAAGTGAGTATTATCCACTTCCTGGTATGTTTTGATGATATCGTTGGTTCTTTGACCAAAATTAAAATTTAAATATATTTTACTGCTCAATATTGTAGGGGGGTATTAAAGAGAACAGTCCAAACTTTAAGTCAAGTCACCCTTCTGCTCTCTGACCTATGTATATTTGAAGCAATTGTTAAAAACCCAAAATTTTTGACCAATCTGACATTAAATGGGCCTCCTAGTTTAGTTAGTACACATGTACATATTTACATGCATATTTACATATGTACATTAGGGTACGTCAACGAAAAAAAAATGTGCGGTTTTTTCACCGCAATCAAAAAACTTAATACATTTTCTGACTTCAGTCAAAATATTTTGGAAAAATATTAAGATTTACATGAGCTTGATGACCGATTTGAAAGTACTTCCAAAAAATTGCATTATTTCAATTGAGTTGTTGAAACTTTTCAAATCATTTTTATGCAGACCTTCTAAGCTTAAATTCCTCTAGCATTTGAGCAGACTTTTTGTACAAAATATTTTTAAAAACTACATTATTTTATTTATAAAAATCTCAATTTCCTGTGGTACATATTTTCAAATGGGCCCAGCTCACGTAAATCTCAATATTTTTTCCAAAAAATGTTTCACAAAGTATTAAAATATAATACAGTTTATAATTCACATAGAAAAACGGTACCGATTTTTTTTTTTTTGTTTATAGAGTGCGATGTAGCCTAATGTACATACATAGGTATGTACGTTTGTATATTTCGAATCCGTGGAAATTTAAATTGGTCACGCCGCTAAAAAGTTGTGAGAGATAGCACATTTGTGCGCTTTGCAGGCATGCCAGTCAGTCCACCCACAATAGTTCTGAAAATACGTGTGTGTGTGTATTTACATACATGCAAGGATATGTGTATCGTCCGTAAAGCTGCTGAAAATTATTAACAAAGTGCTTTGTACTAATAATAAAGGAGCAGGTATTCTAAACAAATACAGACAACACACAAATGTAAACATACAAACGCAGAAGCAATGTTTTTTTTTTTTTTAAAGGATAAACGCCTGTTTTGAGTAGCAGCTGATAGACAACCGACTGACTAATTTTGTTACAGGGGAATGCGCCTTCAGACTTATATACACATAGTAGATATGTATGTATAGGCTTTTATATTTGCATGGCAGTATTTGTTTACAATCAGCTACATACATATATACCACACAAATGCTTAACTACGCCATGCCTACAGGCAACAAACAGTTGCAGTTTAACTTTTGTTGCGGAAGGTTTAAAGCGAATTCGCACGGATACACGCCGCAGCGGAAGCAGCTCTGCAATAATAAACAGGAAGAAAGCCCGTCTACTTTAGAATTTGTGCATTTTTGTTTGAGTGTGTGTTTGTGTGTGGGTGGGTGTGAATTTTTGTGTACTACGTGTAAACTGAAGGAATCTACATTTTTTTTTTTTTAAAGTGCATCCAAAGCGTGTGTACAACAAATGGTTCTACCATTTGTGATTGATCCGAAATATAGTAGACGAAAAATGGTCGATATTTATCAAGCGTTTCCAATGTTCAATTTAGTGCCGGCAAATTTCAGGGCATGGGTGAGTGATGAAATTTATAATAAAGTAAATACAACATGTAGAGGAATGCTAGAGGAAATTATACGAATATTAATTATTGCACTATGGAGTGTAATTTTGTGAGGAGACATTTCAATTGTTGTACACTTTTCTTCCATAATTGGTTTTTGTGTATATTATTTCTCTCAAATTATGAAGAGTTATTTATATGTATCAGTGAATTTAATCGTTTTTGAAGCTTAATAGATTTGGAAAGATTGAAACAGATCCATGACTAAAGAGAACTGCTTTGGCACAATATTCCAAGTGATAATCCGCGATCGCGAAGGTTGGGCAAATGGGCTCCCTGCGCTTCATCCCAGATACGTAACCGATTGCGATTTCACTTGCACCGTATAGGTGTGATCACAGAGTCGGAAGACGAAGGTATCTTGCCAACACTGAGTTAGGAACTCTCTCTTTAAGAGATACAATTGAGATTTGAGGTGCGGTGTCTATAGTTCCATTGTGTCAGAACTAACTAACTAACTAACTGCGCTTAAAGTCCAACCTTTTTTTCATAAACCCTGTTGATTGTCAAATAGTAAGCTTGACACTTCTCAAATCACCACTGATCGAAAATTGCGTCGCCTTTCATCTTGAGATTAGAATTCTACGACGCCTTTATGAAGACCTTCAAGCATTGTCTGTAGAAGCCAGGACACGTTTGAAGTTCTACATTTCCGTTAAAAATAGTTAACCACCATAGGTGATAGGAGTGATGAGACAGTGCCATACAGAGGACAGCTTCCACCAGCTTCTGTCTTGTGTAAATGTCAAATTTTTCAAAATCTGCTCTGTTATAGACAGTTTACTGTCTATTCAAAACCACAACAATATTATCTGCTTTATACGGGAAAATTAGTGGATTCTTTACATGAGAAGGCAGGTGGGGTATCATCATAATCATACATCAGATGACGAAGTGTGACTCTACATTCGCTTTACTGAGTACCAGCTAGCGTAACTAACAAGGGCAAGTAGTAAAGGCCTGTATGCAGCTCTCAAGAAAAGCAAAAACTCGATATAAAATGACGTACAAGAAATGGCAAAGAAATTTTCTTGAGTCAAATTTCCTTATGGCAGTACGCAGTTCTTAAGAAATTTACTACGGTTTTCTAAAGTTTTTTGTGAAAAAAGAGCACAAGGCAACCCATGTTTGCAACAGAAATATATGCCCGTTCCATTATTTCTTGAGGAAAGAGTGAGGCAACAGGCTGTGAAGTATCAAAAATGTCCAAATTCCTTGGACACACACGCGAAATAATGCAAATTTTTTCTTGAGCATTTTCTTGAGAGCTGCATACAGGGCTTAAGATAGTAAAAAGTCTTTCATACCAAAAATGAAAGACAGATGACAGGATACCTCGAAATAAAGCTCTCTCATTCACCACACGTGGTGAAAAAGTATTTTGAGAGAAACCACTTGTATATCATCAGTGCTCGAGTGGGCAGAGCACAGGCGTGCCATTCGAGATCCGATATCAAATCTCGGTCAGCGGAATTTTTATATATTTTTTTTTTTTTTATTCACAATTTCTTCTTCATTAATTATTTTTATTATTTTTTTTTAGGTATTATATATGGTACAGATATATGTTTTTTAATTTCATTTAATTTTTAGAAACTTATCTTAGATATTTTTCTCTTTTTTAATCTAATTTTCTTTTAATTTTTAGATGTTCCTATAAAAAAGAATTTTTTTTTTTGATTTTAAGGAACTAAGTATTTTTTTCTTGTTTATATGCATTTTCTTTTGATTTTTAGATTTTATTGCCTAAAAAGAAAAATATCTTTTTACGTTTTATTTCTTTTTATTAGAAACTAATTTTATTTTTATTTTTTTAATTTAATTTAATTTGTTTTGAGTTTTCTTTTTTGATTAAACCTTATTTCCAATTTAATTTTTGTTTTAAAAAGCAAAAAATATATATTTTTTTTAATTTAGAATTGCCCTGTTAACCTAAGCTATGGTTAATCCCAACCGCGAAGTACCAACCAACCGCGAAGTACCACCAACTTTTTTGTATTATCTGCTTTTATTCAAAATTTGTTTACTAGCTAGTTGTGAAATAATGAACAAAATAATATTTTAGAAAAATAAATAAAATCAAAGAGCACTATCATGGGAAAAAGGACTAACCTTTGAAATAAACGGATTATCACCGTAGATACATATATTTACTTTAAGAAGCCATTATTTCGCTTCACTAGTTAAAACTTTTTTCTGTGCATATTTCTTCGATTTTAAGGAATAATAACTACATACAGTTGTTTTGGATATCATAAATATTTCCCTACGATACTCACTTTTATTTTTCTTTACCTATACTTACATGTGTTTTTATTTTTTGTTTTTGTTTTCAGAACGATTTGCATTCACACAATTTCCATCATATTGTTGGCAGCAATGTACCGTTGTACTATGGGCATGCGACAACAAAGAAGTCAACGAATGGTAAGTAAATGTTGAGAAAATCGTCAAAAGTCACCAAAATATCAATAAGCGCATACATTTGCATTACAAAAATAGAATAGCTGAAAGAATTTTCCCGAACAACCTTCAAAAAATATTATTTTTTTTTTTTTCATTGTTATCAATATGTTTATTTATTTACTTACATATGCTTATTATCAGTAAGTAGTTTAAGGATATTTTGCTTTTCATTACCAATCGACAACCTTTATTTACGACACTTTAATGTATTGCCTTCTAGTTTTCCTAACCCCTTTTGGGGTTGTTTGTTTATGACGTTGACCTAACAACGCGCGCATACATAAATATTTATGCCTGTAGGTAGGCACATAACTATGCCCGTGAATGTCAGCCGCCATTCATAACTATGCAATTGTTTAGTGTTTCTCTTTTTTGTATGGCAATTTTTTTTTTTTGCATTTGCTTACACCTAACAAGTAACACACACAAACAAGTTTGATAATAACATTTTCTTACCTTTTGCAACCCCCACACAGCCGACTATGGCAACTACTTGAGCCGACGACTCGTTGCTAAATCCTGCTCGGACTCCTCCATGGAAGGCAGGAGCTCTGATAGCACCTACACAAGCAGCAGTGGCGGTGGTGGTAGTGGAGGCGCGGGTGTCGCGGGTGGTGGCTGCGGCGGCGGCGGCGGCGCCGATGGCGGCAAGTCTGCGTCCAAGGGAAGCGCAGCAGCGGCCAATGACAGCAACTGCGCGGGAATTAGCGGCCGCTTTACACGTCAAGCGGTGAATTCACGGTAATTTGCATTAAATTTGCACGAATGTGAACTTTCACAAACGAGCTCGTTTTAACTTATTTACATACTTCTCACTTCCCGCATACAACCGACCACGCCTACTTTATAAATGCATTTGCATATGTATGTATGTATATGTATTTGTATGTGTGCAGTTTCCCAGCCATGGATCGTATGGAAATGAATAGCAACTATATGCGCGTTCATAAGCCAACCACCAACTACAATCATCAAGCAGGCATGGGCGCCTATGCTCAGCTACAACAACAACAAATGAATATGAGTTCAACGTATCCGAAAATTAACTATGGTCTGCCCGCCACACAACACCAGCAGCAGCAGGCGCAGCAACAGCAACACCAACAACGTAGAAGAGCTCAACAGCAACAGCAACAAAGGCAATCACAGCAGTCATCGTTGGTGCAACCAGTTGTGATCGGAACACGCGCCATACAGCGTTCGCGTGGCTTTGGTGGTGGCGCCTTTGCTCCAGGTTTGATTGATTGTTTAATTGTAATTTCCACATGCAAATGAAAGCAACTAACGATTTAATGTTTTTTGTTTTTGCATGGATAGACAATTTCCGTTCAGCCGAAAATTCTCCAAAGGAGCATAACAGTAATACAGCGCTGCCTAACAGCAACAACAAAGTGAATAACAATTTGGATGGCACCTATACAATTTATACGAACAGAGATAATGATACACACACGCCTGCAGCACTGGCAGCTAGTAAAGACAGCCAGCAGCAACAACAACACCAACATGTGCATGCGAAAGCCCCAACAGCAACGGCAGCAACAAATGGACGTCGCTTCGTTAATGTGGAAAATTTTGCAAAGCAAAGGTAAGTTCGATGGGTCTCAGAAATGAAAAGCGCCAATTGCAAAAACTCATTTCACAATCTGTTATGGCAAACATATCTACATACAATACAAATATATGCACATTAGACCGTACCGGAAAAAAAATATTTCGCTCTAATCCTCTGACTCTAATGTAATTTTGCACGGCAATTTAGAAAAAAAAAGTTCGTTTCTTTTGTTCCCCGTGGTTCATTGACCTCAGTTACCCCGTTCCAGTACTTACACCCAAGGCATCGGTTTTTATTACCCCAACTTACCACCCTTAATGTCAGTAAATTAAAACTCGCCAAAAATCATTAAGGCGAAGGCGATTTATATTTATATTTTATGTTTTGGCTACCCCCTACGCCTTTTGCAAATTTTCCTCGTATCGTCGGTTCTTAAAGTACGAGATATCGATGCTTTTGTCTCGAGGATACAATTTTTTGTTTGTTTTCAAGTTCATTTACCTCAAGTACCCCATTCTAGTACTTGCCCACCAAATTTCAGTTCTTATCACCCTTACGTACCACCCTAATGTGAGTAAATAAACATGGAAATTATGAAAGCCCTTTTGTATCTTTCAAAAGGTTAATTGAAAGATCTGCTAACGAGGAGGTCTTAGGTCTGTTTGTCTTCAGCAATATTTTTTGATAACTAAATTGAATTAAATTTTTTAACCATAAAAAAATTGAAATTAAATATAATTTAAAAAGGAAAAAATATAAAAGGAAAAGCAATAAAAGAAAAAATAAGCAAGGTTTCTAAAAATTATATTAAACTGAAAAAGCATCTTTCTGAAAACAATAAAACAAAAGAATTAAAAGAAAATTAAAATGTAAACAGAAAAAATTTTAATTCGAAAAAAGGAAAAAATATATAAAACAAGTTTCTGAAAACTAAATAAATTAAAATAAAATAAATATTATTTTTTTTAAACAATAAGATCTTAAAATTGAAAGAAAATTAAATAAAAAATAAACTTAAATTAAAAGTAACAAACAAATAAAAATTTGTATTTATTTTTTTATCAAATAGAATAAAAAAATATTGTTTGCTTTTCAAAATAATAATATGAAATCAAAAGCAAAATTAAACAAAAAAAAAATTTATAAAAAATAGAAAAATACATAAAATAAGCTACTGAAAATTAAATGAAGTTATGTATTTCTCTTTCTAAAGCTATAAAATCTAAGAGTGAAAATGAAATTTAATGTAAGAATTCAAAACAAGTATCTAAAAATCTAAAATAATAAGATTTAAAGATTCGAAGAATCGTTAACTAGAAAGGGAAAGTAACAAAAAAGGTTATTCTTTTTTAAGGAATGTTATCTGCAAATTAAAAAAAGATTTAGTTAAAAAAAATACTTCGAAAAAAAAAATAAATACATCAAATAAGTTTCTAAAAATGAAATTAAAAGAAATATATATAAATTTTCCTTTATAAAATAATAAAATCTAAAAATTCGAAGAGAATGTAACTAAATAACGGAATAAATATAACATTAAGCAAAAAAATATTTTTTTTAATTAAAAGAAAAAAGATTATTCTTTTTAAAACCTTGTTATCTAAAATGAATATAAAGTGAATTAAGAAAAAAATATTTACGAAAAAATTTAATATTTAAAAAAGCTTCTAAAGATCAAATGAAATTTAAAAAAATATATATATGTTTTCTCTTTGAAAGTAATAAAATCAAGAGATTCGAAAAAAATGTTACTTATAAAGAGAATACAAAATTAAGAAAAAACTTTTTTTTTAATTAAAAGATTTTTCTTCTTAAACAATAAAATTTACGAATTAAAAGAAAATTAAATTCAAATTAAAAAACAATATTAATTATAAAAACCGCTGCACGAAGACTCGAACCTCGGGTGACTCGAACGGCATGCTAATTGTTTGACCACGCCGCCATTGCGACTGTTGGAACATCTCCAACCGGAACATGCTCAAATGGCCTCTTTCACAAGAGCTTTTTATCATGAAAGTTTACAAAGGAGCTTTCTTTGTAAGGCATCCATGCCAGAATAAACAAAATCTTTCCAACTAAATATCTTGCCTACTGACTTTCAACTCTCTTAGCCAGAATTGCCCTGTAATCTCACCAAAAATCACTGATCTTTTGCTAAGGAAGTATTTCGATTATTCTAGCTGAACTATTAAAAAAATTATTACCGAAAATACATACATATGTATAGGTATAACCGAAAAATGTAAAAAGGCGACCCCTGGGATCGGTAATTTTTTTTTTTTGCTTGTAAGGTGGTGCGGTCTAATGTACATATGCATCTACAAAAGTACATATATACTATATGTATGTATGTACGCCTCGATGTACATATGTACATTGTTAGCTTTCATCGTTAGTTTCTGTTATTTTGCGCGGATTTCTGCAAGATAATTAAAAAGTTTTGAACAGCGAAGTTCAGGGAATGAACGCCCTTTTCGAAATTTTACATTAATTCCTCGTACTCACCATTAGCGGCTTTGCAGTTTTATAAACTGTAAAACTTGTTGCATATTTTCAATTAAGTACTGACACAAATGTACTTTGATAGAAAGTTCTAGTAGAAAATGGAAGCAAAGAAGAAACTACTTTGGGTGTAAATGAAATAGGCAACTTTTCGTTTGAGTTTGCAACCATATCCTTTGAAGGCGATTTGTTTGTTTGTCTATTTTCACTCATTTTAAAGTTTCATTTTCCTTTCCTTCTTAAAAATTAATTTCTAGAATCGAGGAACAAATAGAGAGATTGGACATTTGTAAAGTTTAATTAATCAGCGCCCGACAGTGATTACCATTTAGACAAGGGGGCGTGGCTCCTCCCATACAAACGGAATTTTTATACCCGAGCGCACTTGTGCACAAGGGTATTATAACTTTGTTCACATAACGGTTGTTTGTAACAGGCAAAACGAATCGAGATAGATATAGACAAATGTATACATAAATGATCAGAATGAAAAGAGAAATCGATTAAGCGGTGACTGTCTGTCCGTCCGTCCGTC